TACAAAGAAATGTAATTTCTTTCATTTCCAACAGAGTATTTATCTCTAATTTTTAGGGAAGTAAAAACTGGTCAAAATATCCCATTTTAATCTTGACTTCATCTTCAAAAATGGTATAGTACACAGATATTCGACTTCAAAATATCTAACTAAAGCGCTTCTTGAAGATGTAACTTCTTATAGAAAATTTTTTTTTTCATTAATCTTAGACGTATTCATTCTCGGCTTTTACTGTGGAAATTCATTTTTCTCGGCAGTGAGTTGGCATGTTTGGGTGATTCTAAACTCCTGACCCACACAGGCAGCTACAAAGGGAGCAATGTTTAAAAACTCATTATAAAGGTAAATGCTTTTAAGATATTTCTTATTTCTAAGATTTCGGTAAGTAGGTTGAACAAAATCGGCATTTATGGACAAAACAAGTAAAACAGGGAAATTCGTAAAGTGTGCAACAGAATTTCGAAAATAATTTGCAGCTCTTTGCACTCGAACTCTCGAAATAATTACAAAGGAATGTGACAGAAATTTTTTTCAATATACACAAAATGGCATGAATTTGATTACAAGTACAACCATAATGTAACTTTATAGTAAAAAGCCAACCTATCCGTATGTGGCCTTCAGTCTATTTCTATTCCGCTCAATAGCCGAGATATGATTACCGTAGAAAATATTTTTGCAATTGTCAATAAAAATTAATACAAAACACGCAAGGATCTTTTCGTGCATTAAAAACGGAAATTTTTACTAAGTATCCACATTGGGAAAAAACTTTATTTAAGGTGGCCACATCTATTTCTGATACATTTACTTGAAGCAACTTAACGTATAAAAACTTTGTATTTGTACTTACTATGTATTAAATTGCCATTTTTATCCACTTTCATGCCTTAAAAATATTTGTATTTAATATTGGACCAGTGACTTGTAATATCGTCATTTCCTTTATTTCGAGTTTTTTGTAACTTACATATTCTTATGCTAGTAAATAGTAATTAGTCCACCAATGTGTGTCTTGTTTTTACTCATGGTTCTTACTTTACTTCTATAATAGTTTGGGGGCACTCCGCGTGTGCTGATTTTGCGCAAAATTACGTTTTTAGTGAATGTACTACAGTTCATGAGGTAGGAAATCTACTGTAAGCTTTTGTGAAAACTGTTTAATTGCTCTCCGTTGCATTTAGATTTTCCGCATAAGTTTAAAGTCGACTATAGATAACAGTCTACTGTGTGTGACATTTGTTGTGGGTGCGCTGGCCAAATATCGCGTGCTGTGTCCTGTTCTGGCCACAAGGTTAATCCAGCGTATCGCCCGCGTGGCTTCTTTGTAGGCACCAACCTAGGCGCAAAATCGACAGAACCTACCGACAAGGTCAAAACAATGGGTCGGGAACAGTTGGAAATGTCAACTCGAAATCTGTCCAAAATACGGCAGACAGAACCCATCTGCAAGCTAACTTAAACAGGTTGGAGGACAGGTCGAAGCATTGGCTTATGCCCTTCAGTGTAAATAAAGACAACTTTCTTCAGATCGGCAGTTGTAGGACATCTAGCCCAAAGGTTTTTTTCTTAAACGGTATACCGCTGCAACAAGTTGACCTGCAAAAGAACTTGGGTGTCGGGATTACTTCTTCACCTGAACCAACGCTGGACTGCATGAAGACTGTGAAAACCGCCAGATCTATATTGCAACTGATCAGACGAGCCTTTATGGGGTTTGAAAAGGACAGCTTTTACAAAATATTTGGAAGCTGCTTTCCGACGTACGTAGCATTCGCTATACAGGCATGGAAAACTTGGACTATCAATCACTGAACCGAGGGACGAAAATTATAAAAGCTTTGTGAACACTACCCTATGAAAGCAGACTGTCAATCCTCAAGGTATTTCCCCATTTCATACAAGTAACTGCAAATGAGTCTCATACTAATCTTCCGTATTA